ACCATCATAACTACAGAACTTCCCAGCGTCGACTTGGCAGCAATCATCAAGCGGTATCCAAATTTAATAACTTTCTGCCAGCGGATTGAAAAGGAATATTTCGTCGAAACGAGAGCAAAATCACGACAGCAGTGACATCATTTTTTCTTAAGAAAATCTTGTAAAACACTTTATTAATTAAATTGCGCTGATGTACACTAACATTTGTACTGAGAAAAGACGTTCACAAAACTGATTAATCTAGGGTCGGGAGTCGCTTAAGCTTCTCGACATCTATTATCAGATGACGAATGTATTCCGGGAACGGTACTGGCTCCAACTGAACGCAAGTCATTTTCATACGAGTTTCGTCCTAAAGTACGGTTGTAGTTGTAGTATTATTTACCAACGGCGAATGGTCACATTAAAAGTTTCCATTTTGCACCGAAGTCGAAATCGGTAGCTCGCGAACAAAATTTTTTCAAACACGGCATTGAACGCTTCTTCGTTCTGAAACAGTAACTGCTAAATCAAAAATCCGAAAAAATTATTTATAGTGTAATTCTCAGCAGATCGAGGAGAATCTTAACTCTCTCCTCATTTTCAGTGAAAATTATTTCCATAGATAATGATCGTGACCGAATCATAGCAAGGTATTCGTGTATGCATTATATCTTTACAACAAAATCGAGCACATCCCTTAATACAATGTAACATGCATTTGGCACGAATAATCTTTAAAAACACTTTAGTGTTACTTTTGACCCGACTTTCACCTTCAGACAGTACATTTTTAACGTGACGACGAAAATGAAATCTCAGATAAACATTATAAGGGTGCTTCGTGGTACAACTTGGGATGCAAAAAACCGCTGCCCTTCACATCTATGGCCTCATTCTTACGTTTTCTGTGGTAAAGTACGAGTAATGACAGACACGACGAACATCCAACTGAAGTCAGCGTGGCAAACGATCACAAGAACTGTAGAGTTAACCCCAACGTCATGGCTCTAACGGACTTTTCCGGACCCACACTCCCTACTCTCAAACTGAACTTCAGGCGAGATGCTAAATGCAATTCTATAGCTATCTTAAGAAGGCATTTAAACTTGTGTGAATGAAGTCAAAAGAGCCGCTCCGAAACATTTTGTCTAATATCTACTCTACAAGTAGTAAACACGGAACAAACCAGTTCTGACTAAACAAATAGTCTAGGAGTCGACAACCCATTAACGTGGAATGAGGTATAGTCTCCCATTAACCGCAAAAGAATAGGATACGGTAGCATCAGTATACTCGGTATCGGAAAGCTTGTGCTCATAAGTCGATGATTATCGATTTAATAATCATGTCGTTTGATTAACGTCGTTGCGTTAATAGACGGTGGGGCAGTCAACCAATCATTACGCTGCGTTGGCACCCTTCATTGCAAACGATAGTTCGCTACGCGCAGACAAACTGGATTGAAGTTCCTTACCGGCTTGATCAGGCTGCTGCTGAATTTGCGGTTTAAAACACGTTGGACTGCCGCTTGTGGTTCGAAAATGAACTTATTGGGTACAAGCGGCTTAAATGGTACAGTACAGGTTCAGCAGGCAGTCAGCGAAAAGGCAGCCGCATTCCAGAGTTTGCTTTGCAACAAGCGACTTTCAAGTCGATTGTGCTGCGAAAGAGTTCGATGTGACAGCTAGTATGCTTGCGAAAGGGTGCCAATGCATATGCTTTATCGACTCTGCCAGCTGTCTTCTACATAAAAACTGAGGAGCAGCGGAAGAGGTGAGAAACGTTCACGTATGTACCGGTAATGGAAAAGTGAAGTGATCGACGGTGAATCGGAACAGGCAATGGCATTCACCGTTGTGACTTCAGCACTCTGAGTCTGACAACGAAGCTATGTGAGTTCAAATAGATTTCTTTCGCCATGCTCACCTATGGTAATGAGTCATCGACCATGATTGAAAAACTGGAATCCGAGGAACTGGGCAAAGGAAGAGGCGTATCGCTGGGCCTAAGCGTCTGGTCAGAGTGTGGAAATCAGATTTCCAAAAAAGTCGTCGTGTAGATCGGTTCCTTCTCCAGATTGAGAAGGGGCAGGTGCGACCTGGCACATTTTGCAAGTATTTCCAGAAAGGAAGGCGAAGTAGCTACTACCTGGTCAACGGGCCGTTGAAGACAAGGGAGAAACCAAAAATCGGCTGAGGAAGTGTTTCAACGTAATCTGTTCTAGACTTTAGGTATCTTCTATCAAAGGTCAGACGTTGGCGCATTATCGTTAACGTTTAAACCACGTCTTACGCGCCTGCCTCTGCGTCCGGAACGGATAAACGGGCACTAAAACTGACTGACTATACCGGACTGACTGATGGAAAAGTACAGAGAATATTCTATAGGTAATGCACCCAGTGGCACAATGTTCCTCGATTTTGGATAATTTCTGTTGCTAGGTATTTGTTTCATCCATGGTTAAAGGTACCAAAGTGTCTGGAAACTTAAGGCATCGATCAACGTATTAACTAGAATTCCATCAACGGGCCTACAACCAAAACAACGCCAAGCAGTATTAAGGAATAGGGAATACAAATACCAATAGGGAATCTTTTACTGTAAGCTCTACCTTGGTTCCGCCTCCATCGATTAAGGAAGCTTGTGCATTGCTGAAGTCGTATTTTTTAAATTTGGTTTAACGCTCTTTGGTCTGAATGCAGGAAGGTGTTTCACAATTCATATGCTAAGCCATCTGCAGAAATTCAGCAAATAAGGCTTATCATAATCATATACTATATATCTCACCTGCTCTCTTAAACTGCCCAGATTTTCAGCTGAAGTGCCAAGCAGAACTTCGCCACAATCTTCGAACATTGTCACCCACTGCGACAAAGTAAAATCGCATATGTGTACCTAAACGCGTAACTGCTTTTAGAACAAACAGACAATAGCTACAGCATGACAACCATGAACTTACCGACAGTAGCATGCGCCATTTGAAGTTTGGATAGTGTTTGTTGCACTTTTCACAACGGTACATACCGTTGTTTTCGTCATACACCTTCTTTTTGCAGTCTGCAGTGGGACAGGCCTAAAAGAGCAAAAATGACATTTAATTAATAATAACGGACTGAAACTACGAAGTCTACCTGGTAAAGGCATGAATCTCGTTTGACACCTATTACCATAGCTTTGACGCCAAAATAGTCAGCTTTGTCTCCTGACCCAAGGCGCTCCGTTTCCGCTTGTGCCAGTAACGTAAATCCGCCACCTGCAAGGTAGTCACTCGAAGCGTCAATGAAATAACAGTACTCAAAACTTACTGCCAGTCGCCGCTGCACCACCCGCGCTGGCAACGGACAGATTCTTGATGGTTTCCGGTTTGGCTTCAGAATCGTACCAGCCCCTCAGCCGATGTGCCTCCTTGATATCCGGATTCATGTATGTTTCTGCGCCTTGAACCAGAGACAGCGAAATTCCTTAAAATCAGAATGGCGTTAAAAAAAAGCAGGCGTCCACTTCATGTGTGGTACCCGCAAAGTCACCAATCCGGGCACCTTTCACTGCCATGACCGGATGGCCTTCGCATTCGAACTCTTCAGCCTAATCAAGATTAATATTAAGCACGTTGATCTCTGAAAGAAATCAAACCATAAGCTATGTACAAGCATCTATTTGGCCAGTAGCCAACTTACCGGTGGTATGAAAATTGAAAAGCTAAATAGAAAGCACGTTAGAAACTTCCAAAGTGCAAATAGCTACAACGTTTCCTAGGAAAAAAGTTTAAATAAATACTACGAACCACTGACGCATTGAAT